AGGCAGGAGGATCCTTGTGCATTCGAGACCAGCCTGGGCTACAAAGTGAGCACAAGGCCAGCCTGAACTGCATAGTGAGACCTTGTCTTTAAAAACAAACAAAACAAAACAAAACAAAACAAATATATACATATGAATGACTGCAGCATAAGTACCTCCCTGGCAAGCACAAAATCTAGAGTTTGATCCCTGGTACTCAAAAAAAAAAAAAAAAAAAAAAGGCGGGGGGGGGGGAGAAAGAGAAAGAAAATACAACTGATAAGTACCATCAGGTTTGGCTTTCTTGTAGCATTTTTATGAATTGCTTTAGTTTCATTATCTGTAATCACAATAGCTATACCCTCTCTGCTTGCAGGCATTTTGGTCTTTTCTCATGTAAACTGAGATTTTCTTGCTGTGAATGTAGGCTGGATGATATTGTATTCTAGTGTTATGGGTTGTCCCCTAACACCAAAAAAAGGCATGTTCAAGCCCTAACCCTTAGCACCTCACAGTGTGACCTTATTTGGAAATCCCTAAATTCTTTCTGGAGTAGAGTGGAGTCATTACCCAGTTAAGACTGGTGTCCTTGTCTCCTTTCTCCTAGCTTGCTTTCCTTTTTTTGGTTTGCTGAAACAGGGTCTTGCTGTATAGTTCAGGCTGCTCCTGAACTATGTAGTCCAGGCTGGCCTCAAACTTGCAGCAATGTTCCTGCCTCAGCCTCCAGAGTGCTGGGATTATAGGTTACGTGTCACCACGCCTGGCAGTACTTGTAAAGTTGGAGAAAAGTTGGGAAGATAGTACACAGAGGTTCCATATAACTCACATCTAGTTTTTCTGTTACGGACATTTTACCTTTTTTGTACAGTATATCTGTCAAAGTTCACTGGATACTTTTAAGAAAGGCTATACTGTGTTCTCCCATTCAAATGTTCTCCTTCTGCTCCAGGACACTGTCCAAATTACGACATTACATTTAGCTATCACGTCTTCTATATTTCTTTCAGTGTGACAGTTTCTCAGACTTTCCTAGTTTTGGATGATCTTGACAGTTTCAAGGAAGGTTGGTCAGGTACTTTGCAGAATGTTTTTCAGCTTTTATTTGTCTGATGTTTTTCTCAGCATGAGTTGGGATCATGCATGTTTCTGGGAGAGTGAGCCCTCTGTGTCAAGAGCATGAGCTGCCAGTCTTGGCACTGCCCCTGATACACTGGCACAGGTGGAGGTTGTGTGCTGTCCTATGGGAGGGTAGGGTCTATGTAAGTAACACGGAATTCCTTTGCCTGAAAGATGAGCTTCAGTGACATTTTATCCAACTTATTTTTTGCTTTATCTTCTAATTCTCAGTCTTCATGTCTTTGCTTTTCTTCAGCACATGGAACATGGTTAAAACTGTTTTAATGTTCTTGCTTGTCATCCCATCAAACCTGAGTCTATTACTATCAACTCTCACCCTTCTGTACAAATCAAATTTTCTTGCCTACTGACTTACCCAGTTTGACTGGGTCTAGGAAATGGTTACTTTATTTATTTATTTGGTGGTAGTGGGGATCAAACACACGACCTCATGCTTGCCTGGCAGGCACTTACACCACTGAGCTAACCCCCAGCCCAGAAATGGGTACTTTATGATGCATGTTTGAATTCTGTTAGTCTTTTTTTCTGGAGTGCTGTACTTGAGGACAGTTTCACTTAGTACAGGCTAGCCCCATCACTTCCAGGGTTGTTTCAAAGCATTTAGAAGCTCTTTACTCTGGGCTTTTAGCACCATGTCCAACTGTGGTCCTCTTAGGTCTCTGATGAACTCCCTCTGTATTCAAACACAGTGGCTTCTCCACTCTAGGTGGTGAAAATGAAAATAATTTGTGATCTTTTGTGAGCCTGAATTGCTCCCCTATTAGTTCATCAGCCTCCTCTGTAAAGGTCTATAGTCTACAGGAGCAAATCAGCATTTAGCAAAGATTCCAGGGAGCTCACCTGCATACTGCAGAAGCTCTATCTTGCCTGAACTTCCTTCTCTCTGGTACCATGCCCCACATACTCTAGCTACCTTTGCTTCTCCACAGTCTGGTCTGTTAGGGTCTCTCTGCACTTAAGTTGAAATTGCCTCTGCACAGAGCAAATGCAATTGTATGGTTCACCCTATCTTCATCTGTCTTCTAATGTTTGAGGTCTGTTCAGTCTTTCCTTGCTCTTGGGCTACTAGAGGCCTTAATACTAGGCTACATTCCTAGTTCTTTCACTTTTCATTTTGAGACTTCTGCAAAGTTACTAAATTGGCCAGCTGGGCTTGAACTGTCATTTTCTTGTTTTAGTGCTGAGATTACAGGTGTGTACCACTATGGATGGTTTCTTACGTAGTAAACATTAAATCCAAGTGGACTATGGAAATAAGCAAGCCTTATTTAAGGGTTATGAGTTTCAGAGTTGGCTAGTGAATCTCAGGGAGCCCAATGTCCCATATCCTTGCCTCAGTGCTTCAAGGGGCCTCCTTTGCTGGGTACAGGCAGTTCTGGGAGGAGGTTATATTTATACTAGGATCTAACAAAAACCTATTACGGGAATTATGACAGGACAGGAGCAATAAGGCTCCCAGCTACTGGTAGTAAACAACAGTCTTCTACTCCAACATAGCTATCAGTGAATGTCGAGTCATATAGTAAATTTGAAATGCATACAAAATGCAGCATGTATACTTTTATATAGACAGAGCAGGTCTATGAGTTTATACATTTTCTCAAAGGCTCCATGATCCCAGAAGGTTAATGGCCACTGTATTCCATGTGGTATGAAGTGGCCATATGCTCCAACCCTCATTCCTTTACTGGAGACTGAATCAAGGATCTTACAAATGTTGGCAAGTATTGTATCACTATATCCTAGCCCTTTTAAAATTTTAATTTGAGACCAGGTCTTACTATGTTGTCCAGGCTGGCCTTGAACTTCTAATCCTGCTATCTTAGCCTCCTGAGCAGCTGGGATTATAGGTGTATACCACCTGGTCCAGCTCTCCTTTGCTCTGCGTATCTGCCCAGCAATGTGCTCTCCCCGTTTCAGTTTCCCCTACTCATCTGAGGATGAGGCTTGTGATGTGCTCTGGTTTTCCAGACGCAGTCTCTGGGTCCCAGGAATTGGGACTTTAAATGGAACAAGAGTCTGAATAGGTAGCTACAACTGCATCTAGTGAACTGGGGAGCCATGGATGACCCAGTGCTATGGCCACTACTACATCTTCCCCAGTCTTACTTTTATTCTTCATTAAAAATCCTTCTATGACTTCTCTAAGTACTTTTCTTGCTTTTTCTCAGGTTAGCTTTCGTTTACACCTATAACATAGGCACCATGACCGGTCCATTGCACCACAAGCCCAGCCACCACACACTGCAATCTTGAAGCCCAATGAACACATGTAGCTTGGCCAACTTTGCTCACCAAAGGGCCAACAAGGGCAGAAGAGGGAGACTGGCAGCATCTACCAGCAATGCTGGGTACTAGGAAACATTTAGGGGTCAAGCTGTCCTCTTTTCACACCCTGTGAGGCCGGTATATCCTCCTCTTGCCAGGCTCTGAGGAAAGCCCTGAGGCCAGAGGCAGGTTCTAGCCCAGTCCTCCTATACTTGACCAGAGCTACCTCAATCTTCCAGGGTAGGTGCTATATCCTGGGTGGGCTCCTTGCACAATGAGTGGCTCTCAGTGGTAAGGCTGCCCTTTCTGGTCCCACAATAAGAGTCATGAACAAGTTGGGTGAGGTGGCTCCTGCCTTAATCCCAGCTACTTGTGAGGCTGAGGCAGGAGAAGCATGAATCTAAGACCAGCTGGGGCAACTTTAGCAAAAACCCTATCTCAAAATAAAATAAGGGTCAGAGATGCAGCTGAGTGGTAGAGTGCTTGCCTAGTATGAATGAGGCTCTGACTTCAATCTCCAGTGAAGGAAAACATCCAAACTATGATTCAATAGGCCAGCCACTTCACTGCTCAAGTGGCAGCTGGGGTCTAACTAAGAAGGAGGTAAACAGGGGTTTCCATCTGCGTTCTACTCAGGAAATGTGGCAAAGGCAGGCAGTGAGTGACAGCTGGATTACTATGGAACTTTGAATTTGGTCTTATCATTTCTTTTTAAAGTGTTTATGTTTTTTGAGATAGGGTCTTTATGTAGTTCAGGCTGGTCTTGAACTCACTGTGTAGCCCCAACTGGCCTCAAACTCACAGCAATCCTCTTGCCTCAGTCTCCTGAGTGCTGGGATTATAGGTGTGTACCACCACGCCCAGTTTGGTCTTTATATTTTCTAGCTCTTTGTTAAAGCTTCTTGATGTTTTGTTTTATGGTGCTGGGGACTGAACCCAGGACCTTGTACATGCAAGCAAGAGCTCTACCATTGAGCCATATCTCCATCTCTTATTGACGTTTTTGAGTTTCAGTTTTCTTCTGTTTCAAATTGGGAGTCTCACTATATTGCCCAGCCCAGTCTTGAACTCATGGAGTGGAGACCCTCCCACTGCTGCATCTCAAGTGCTGGAACACGTACACACCAGGTGCATCCCAGCTGAGTCTCAGTTTTTATCTATAAAATGGAAATTATGTCACTTAATTGAACAGTTGTGGTTAGAACAGAATAAAATACAAGAAGCTTAACTACTTGTAACATACATTGAATGAGGACCATTTGCTGGTCATTACAGGAGGCCCTTGGACTCCCAGATTACCCAACCCAAGTCACAGCCTGCTGTTGCTGTATGTAACCTCTAGCATTTTAGGACTTCTGCCAAGGCTGCAAAGGCAAGGCCAGAAGGCCTGTCAATTCCTGTTAGTTGTCTGAGAATGAGCTCACCTGGCTGTCAAGAGCTAGGAGAGCAGGAGTGGCCTTGCTTGTCTGCAAATTCTAGACACCACCTGTGGCTGAAGGCTCTTGTTTCTAAAAACACCTCATGTGATTTCACCAGGAACATCTAGGTGGATGCATGCCCTGCCCTCGCCTTACTGTATAGCCAGCCCTGCCCTAACTACACAACCAGAAACCTACCCTCTCCACAGTAGCTGGGCTCAGTGCCTTGGCAACCTGTGGCCTCTTCATCCTCAGGGATTCCTTGGCCTCAACTGATAGTGTCATTTCTGTTCTTGAAGAGAAGACAATTACATCATCAAGCTGGGACTAGCGAAAGACCAGAGAAGTGCCAACCAAAAATTAAACAGGCCCTCACTGTCAGTGTAGGGTGGTTTAAAAAAATGGAGTGCCTCCTTAAATTTTGTACCTCGGTTTTCCCCAGTAGCTTGGTCCTCATCATAAGGACTTGGTCTACCCCAGCTCATCTTCACCTGCCGGCCCAACTGCCCCAGCATTTGTGTCATATAAGCATATGGCCCTGTGCATTATTCTCAGGCTTCTTAGGTGGCTCTTAGGGCTGGAGCACCACAGCTGGTCCTACATAGGGAGGGAGTCATAGGATTAGGTCTAGCTACTTTTAGAAGATCCACCCGGACATAGTGAATAAATTTGAAAGCATCTCTCAATTATGAAGAACAACTTCACCCCCCTCCCCTTTTTGGTTCTGAGGATCGAACTCACAACCTCACACTTGCCAGGCAGGCACTTGGGTCGCTGAACTAAATCCCTAGCCCCACAAATTCACTTTTTAAGAAAAATTTAAATTGAAAACTCTGTACTCTCACCTACCAGAGATAATCAACAGTATTTTTCATGCTTCCTCTCAATCTTTCTAAAGACTAAAATAACTTTGTACAGAATTGGGATCCAGGCTGTACATGGTGGCATATACTAGCATTTGGGAAATTAAAGCAGGAGAAAGCCTTGAGTTTGAAGTCAGCCTGGGCTACACTATGAATTCTAGGTCAGCCTGACTTACATGGCAAGACCCTAAAAAAACCAAACCAACCCAAACCCAACCAAATCACTACCACATACAATCCAACCTCCCACCCACCACCACTGGGATTCACTGTACCTGGTACCTGAGCCTAACTTTTCCACTGTGTCTGGGCATTTCTCTCTGATAGTCCTGCAGCTCTCCAGATTTGTTCTCTGTCCAGCAAAGGCCTAGCAAGATCCTTATTTGGTGGACTGAGGGGTTATTGCATAAAGGAGAGAAAGCCAAGACTGAGAGATGGCTCTGAGTACAGAATACAAGGGCACATTTAGGAAAGTACTGAAAAGCCCACTAAGAGAGGGCGATTCAAACCCACATGCATATGTTAGTGTGGATCCTAACCATGTGGTCACCAAATTTCCTCCCCAGGGCAAATATAACTGCACTGTCCTCCATCCACTGTCTGATCTTTTGAGGCCCTTCCTGTTTGGATGATGCCACCTGTGTAACTGTATAAGAGCTTAGAGTTGGGAAAACAACATCATAAAGAAAGAGCAACTGCCATAACCCCTACCAAATGAGTTCCTTGATGGTGACCTGTTATGTAGCCCATAGCAGGGCTGCCAGTCAAAATATAGCTGGCTCAGTAAAGGGTTTCTGGGGTTGGAAGATCTTCCCTAGGTATTACACCTTGAGAATTAGCCAATATTTTTCCTCAAATGGTATTTTTTTTGACAGAGTGGTGAGAAGACTTCAGCACCAAAGAGAACACACTCAAGACTGTCCACCCTAAAGGCTTCCAAGGCCTCTAAGGGCTGGGTCATGGACAGTGAATCTGCAGGAAGATCCATGCTGGAACTCTACTGACAAAAGCCATAGGACTGGTGTGAGTACCTTCAAGAGTAGGGGACAAGTGCATTATTTCCTTTCTCTGGGCCAGCTCTATGGAACTCTACAGGACCATGCCCAGCCTGGACAGTTGGCCAGAGCTTGGTTTCTATATTCACTGTCATGCCAGTCCCTTAATGCTGTGTCCTGCACCAACAACAGACACAACCACAGCTGCTCTGTACTGACCAGGTAGGACCAAATGCTTGAGTTCAGTCAGCTCCCCTGGGAAAAGACATCAACAGGGCCACAGCAAGTGTGCCTTGTGGATGGAGGCTGGGCACAGGCCTGCTAAGATTCTCTTCTCATTCAACAGCCCTCCCCAGAAGATCCTGTGGGTCCTTAAAGCATGTACACTGGTGCACTATCTCCATACCTCACAATCTTTAAGCAGAAACAGCAGGCAAATTACCAGACAGGATGGACCTTCCTTGTAGAATTATGCTCAGAGTATTTCAGAGGATCTCTGATACTCCTCTTTGACTTGAGTAAGGACTGTCCCTGTGTGCTATAATGAATAAGGCAGAGGTGGAAGGAAGAGTAAAAGAAGGCAGAAAAGTGGGGTCACTTTCTCTGGCTAGGAAATTCTGAAAATGACCTTCGGGAAAAGACACTGCTACTTTTTGGGTCTGGGGAGAGGGGAAGACTGACAAAGAAGAGGTACCAGCAGAACAAACACAAACTTTATAGTTCTCTTTTTATTTCCAAACATTCTCCAAGCAGTGAAGAGGCTCACTCAGTAAATAGATTAGGCAATTGAAGTAGAGTGCCTGGCCTCCTCTAGCCTTTATTTATGAATGCTTAAGGGACTGGAGTGTGTGCAGGGGGTGCTCAGCACTCCCAAGTTTTGGGGTCAGGCAGGTTTGGTAGCACCTGGCACAGTCCCTCTAAAAGCTCCCTCTGAATCAGTGAGGCCTGTCTTCAGGCCACGATTGGCTAGCCCTGGATCTCGCCCTCACTGGGCAAGACGTCATAGCCAGGACACTCACTGGTCTCCAATTCCAGGCACAGGCGTGGAGTCATCTCTGTAAGCCCCAACGACGGGTGAAGAACTGCATTAAAACGTACGTATCAGCCTGCCAAGTCCTAACATTTGCAGATCATGAACTTCAAGTCATGCCTCATAGTAGCCACCAGACAACTAAAGAGGTCACTATGTCATCCCACTAGACCCAGGAGAAGCTGTTTAGGTGGCTGACCATCTGGGAAGAGCTCGGACTTCACGTCTTTCTGTAGCTCCCACTGCCCTTCTGCCCACTAGAGACACATCCTCCGACTCCTGAAGGCCCTCAACCTCTTCCAGACGACTGCCGAAAAAAGGCGGGGGGACAAGGCCCCCAAAGACCAAAGAACTTGAAGCCTCATCCTGCGCTTCCCGACAGACTGCCTGCGCGGCCGGGGGGCGGGGCGGCTTTCCCCGGAGACAACTGCGACCGCTCAGGGTGCGGAACGCTGGCCTGGCAGGCCGCAGCTCCTCGCAACCGAGGGCCCCTCCCGGCAGGCCTCCCCAGCCCCGCGCCCCAGCTCTTGTGCAGCCTGTGGCGGCCCTTACCGGGCTCCAGCAGATGAGAGCGTCGGTGTCCGGATCACTCACGAGGGTCCACAGCTTGGTCAGGAAGGCTGGGACATTACTGGGCCCCGCCGCGCTGGCGCCTACGGACAAATCCATCTCGGGTGAGAAGGCAGAAGGGACGGCCTCGAGGAAGGGTATAGAACCTGGCTAGTGCCGCTGCCGCATTTGCGGCCCGCGTCGCGCCGCTGCTCGTTGCGCACACACGGTCCCTGAGCCTCGCATGGCAGCCGCCATCTTGCGACGGGCACGCTCCCGTAGGCGCCCCGCCCGCGCGCGCTCCTTTGCGCAGGCGCCTTAGCCAGCACCTTTGCCGTCCTTGCTCCCTTGCGGGCCGCCTCACCACGCACCTGCGCAGATCTGCCCGGCTTCCGCAAATCACCAATCAGGTCTCGACGGGCAGGGCCAGGATGGGCGGGGCTGGGCGGTGGGTGCCTGCTCACTGCCGGAAGTGGCAGTCAGTCGGCGGCCGGTGCGGCATAACATGGCTGAGCGTCGGGGCGTGTGTCTCGTGGTGCCTGAGCAGGGAGGTCGGCCAGCCAAGCGAGGTCTGGAGTTTGAGCCAGAGCCAGAGCCAGAGTCGGAGGAGGTGACTATGGGCAGTGGTCGCCCCTGCCGCGGGTTCCGCGAGCACGTGGCAGACGCCCGGGTCAGGAGGCCTGAGGGGTCGGGTACGCGGCGCTGTGTGTTCTGGAAGTTAGAACCGCTAGTCTTGTCCGGTGTCTTGGGAGCCAGGTCTAACTAGCTCGTTCTGCTGGATGACCTAGAAGTGCAGTCTGCACAGGGCTCCTAGGCCAGGACAGTCCTGTGGCTTGAAGAACCGCATCAGGGAAGGCCAAAGAGCCGGCAGGGTTTTAGCCTGCACAGTCGATTAAGTGACAGGCCCATGGGCACATCCTTGTAGCGTGCCAGTGTGTTAGGTATGTATAGGAATGCTGGACTTATGAATAGGAGTCTTAGTGCCCACTGTAGTTGTTGTGACTGAGTGCCTCTCCCTTGCTGCCCCGCTGGCTGGGCTTGGTTGGGACTTCATCAGATCTGAGTCGTCAAGGTGTACACTGCCCATTCTCTCTTAGCTAGCTCTTTGTTTTGTGAAGTGTAGCAGAGCTGCTTTCCACTGCTTGTTTGTAATCTGAGGCCCTTGGGAGTGAGTTGTTTGTACCCCAACCATTCCCAGTGTTTTTATTTACTATTGCAAAGGAGACCACTGACTATAGGAGATACATTATGAAAGAGTGTATGCGAGTCTCTTCTATGGAAACTTAGGTGAATGCTATGGATTATGCATAATGCAGGCCAAGTACGGTGAAACGTCTAAGCGTAAAACACTGAAACTGAGAATTCTGACATTACTTGGTTCTTGAAAATCTTAAGTTGTGCTATTTTTCAGAAGCCAGTGACAACCTGTCCATAGTGGTTTGGATGTCTCCTAGAATTAGGCCTGAAGTGGTCTCTGATCAGCAAAGAGAAAGTGATGGCTGTGCTCCCAGAAGAGACCAGTTGGGTTTAACTTGTTTACAAGTGAAGTTCATGGTGTCATTGCTCTCAGCCAACTTTCCATTTTACCTACTTACAGTTTCCTTGGATAAGGAAGCTTCCATTTCAGGTGATAAAAGTCCTTTGGGGACTTTGGTTCTCTCTGGGTCCCTAGCACCTGCCCTAGGTAGTGAGTGCTCTCCCAGAGTGGCAGGGTGAAGTGTGGAGGTTTTCTGTCAGTAGAGGAAAGTTGGGTTTGGCAATACAGGGGGAGCTGAACTGTGAGGAGGTGTTGTCCTTAAAAACACTAAGACACCGTGGGACACTAGTTGTCCTTTCCCTTGTGAGACATTAGAGTTTATTTTATTTTTTTGACATTAGGGTTTAAAATGTTTGCTTTGAGGATAGGTGGCCCGGCTGTCAACAGAGGCAGAAGATAGGTTGGACAGGTGACTCTGGTAGAGGTGGAGGCTTGTAAGAGGCAGGCTGTACCAGCTACCTGATCAGCTTTCCTTCTCAGATAGTTCCATAGTGTGTGTGGTATCTGCCTGGGCAAGCCTACAGGTTGACAGTTACCAACTCTATGCTTCCTTGCAGCCCTTTCTTCTCTGTGACCCTGCTTCCAGGCATGGTGACAGCAATGATTCCAGCCTCTCGGACAGTGAGGAAAGTGTATTCTCAGGCTTGGAAGATTCTGGCAGTGATAGTAGTGAAGACAACAACAACGAGGGAGAGGATGAAATCAGCTGTGACAAGGGCCACAGCAGGACAGAGGGGCAGGCACAGGTGGGTAATGAAGATGTTCCTGTGGCTCTCCTTTGTGGACAAGGACAGTCAGGAAGAAGCAGAACTTGCTGGGCCACGGCTTTCTGAGAGCTGTAACCACAATGTCTTCTCCATGTTCCATCAGGAAACTCAAAGCTTTGTCCCTCAGTTGCATCTGAGGGATACATTTAGGCTCTGAACCACTGTTTTTTAATCCCAATTGTGTATGCCGTTCCTAAGAACTCTGAAAATCCGCATGCTGAGGCCTTTCCTTCTCAGATAGTTCTCAGGCTGTCTCTCGGTGGAACACTAGGCAGACTTTGCTGGCTTTCTATGGGCTGGGTTTTCTGGAGCAGAAACCAACAGGGATACTGCCTGGGGCGCTGGCAGGACATGGCTGTGAGGGAGCATGCTGAATAGTTGGGCAGGGTGTATGGGTCTCAGAGATGCAGAGATCCCTGAGTTGCTGGTTTTTTGTTTTTTGGGTTTTTTTTTTTTTTTTTTGGTATCAGAAATTGAACTCATAATCTCATGCTTGTGCCTGCTCATCTTAAGCAAGAAAAGTAGGAGAAATGCTTGATTCAACTAAAATCAACAACTGTTATTTAAACCATTGTGAGAGAAATGGTTGATAACTATTTCTGTTTCCAATGGCCTTGTTGCTCTGAAAGTCACAACTGTGGCTATTAAAGTCTGCTGCTATAAGGGAATCCAAAAAGCCAGAGCTTGGGCTGGTGATTAGCTCAGCAGCTTAAGCACCTGCCTGGCAAGTGTGAGGTTGTGAATTCTACCAAAAAAAAAAAAAAAAAAAAAGAAGTCACAGCCCATTTGCATTGGTTTTTTCCGTTGCCTTGTTGACTAGAAATATCAGATTTAAATCCACCATTCATTCAAGCTATAATTTTAACACTGGTGTGCACAGAATGGAAATGACATGTTAACTTTACTTTGATCATGATTTGTAAGCTCATGGGCAACTATCCACCCCACTTTTAAATTTTCAATATTATAAAAATAGATCTTCCTTGAAAAAGATTTGGCTATTACATCAATGCTATTCAATTGAGCATGGAAGTTCCCATTCACTGCTCTTTCTATGAATGGATAAGCAGCTAGTAGTTTAATGGATACCTTTCTAGACCTTTTTCTCATTCAAAAAGTTATGGTCCATACATTGACGTACTTAAAATTTTCTTTTTATATTAAATCTTTGCAATAACCTGTATAGATAATTCTCTTAGGCCTTGGTATATTCCTAGGGACTCTAGTGCTACCAGAACTGTAGGTCTGACCTGGAAGCACTGCTTAGCTACTCTGAGCTGCTGTGTATGTCACCACTCTACCAAAATTCCTGTAATACTGAGTATCTACTCCATTGTATGGCATTGTATGGCACCCCACCACCAAAGGTGACCCTGTCCTGTCTTGATGGTATCATCTACTGTTGCAGATCGGAAGCAGTCAACAATTACTCCGCCAGGCTTAGATCAGGTGACTATCAAGGAAAGGGCCACCTTCAGAGTTTCACTGCCACCCAGCTGTGTGATCTGGCATGCTAGTTGCTTATATATCTTTTCTGTGCCTTGGCTTGGGGCTATACTCCTGGCCCCTGTTGGAATATTTTCAGGGCTGATCCGCATTTCTAGGCTTGAATCTGTTCAGGCTATTAGAATGCCTTATTGGAACTCTCACATTTTTTCACCATTCCACAAAAACCACCCATATACCTCTACTTTGCTAAGCTGTTTCACTCTTCCTGTTTTTTTGCCTCTTTCTGTACAAATGTGAGTTCGTTTTCCATGCATAGCTCTTGAGGGAAAGGCTTAATCTGTGGGCACTGCCAATAGAATGTTCTTGGCTTTCTATGAGCCAGACCTTTTGAAGCATGCTAGGTGGTATCCTAGGATCCTAGCATCCTCTGTGGTACATGCATTGGTGCCTTAACCTGGACCTATGATGGCATCCCTGAGGATGCTCACTCCTGTATCCTTTGTTCTGTGTCAGGAAGGGTTCCACTAGGTTGGGTTCCACTCTGGGGTTTTTAGCCTGCTTTCCTCCTCTAATGGCAAGTTGTCACATGTCACATGGTGCTCCAGATGGTCCCCACTGAGCGTGCTTGTCCACCCCAAGAATTTCCATTGAGCAGGTTCTAGAATTTCTGTTCCATATCCCCAAAGCTGTAGGAATTTACATAATTCACAGCTTCTGCTCCTCTATCAGATATCGCAGCTCTTTAATGGAGACTCAGGATCCAAGAACCCATTCCTGTCTCTAGGTCCCCTCAGGCCTAGCAATCCTGCCTTTGTACCTGATCCTCAGCATGCCAGTGATTTGCCCCCTGTCTTAGTCTCCTGGGCCCGGCACATTTCTCCTGTCCCAGCCTTCAGTCCCTGACTGTTGATGAGCCTGTGGCAGCTGAGAGGGGAGCTGTAGGCTGCCTGCACATGGGGTGTGATGCTTCCTGCTGACTCCTGCCTAGCAGCTCAGTTCCCAGTTCAGGGAGGAAGATTTCTCCCTACCTCCAGCCATTGCATTTACCTGTCCATCTCTGTTGGCCTGCTCTCTCTCCAGCAACACAAGTGAAAAGGTTTCCAGGCCTTTCCAGGAAAGATGACTTTTGTCAGTGTTCTTTCTCTTTTCTTTGTTTTAAGCCTAGGGCTTTGTAAATTTTGAGCAAGCAGTTATCACTGAAGCATGTTAGCCTGTGCCTTCTTATTGCTGGTGTTAAGTTTTTGTGAGTTTACAGTTTTTTCTTCCTTTTTTGTGTTTATTTTAAATATATTTTTTTCTTCTTGCTTTTTTTCTTTAACTTACATGGATTTTTTTTTTTTCCTTGTTTATGTTGCTTGTCATGTTCAAGAATATAAGAAAAGGCTTAGATAGGAGGATGAGTTTGAGGCCAGCCTGGACTACATCGTAAGTTCAAATCCCACTTGAACTA